CATGGTGCTTAGTTGCTGGCTGGGGCTAAACCACGACAGGCGTCCTCACCAAATTAGTCATGGTACCCGGGCACCTCTCTGCTTTACTTCTGCCATTCACTGTGCTTGATATACGTCACTCTTTGGGTTGGAGGGCGATGTTTCTAATGATATTAGCCAAATACATGCCCAGTCCTCTGAATGACCCTGAGATATGTCTGCCTGCCATCTCTTGAATATATCTCGACTGTACTGGTCCGTATCAATTAATACCAACCATCTCTCCCTCCAAAAATTTGTTATTGCAGCAGAAAGGCACAGTGAGGATTCAAGGGTTGTTCTCAGCACCTCTCCTGGTACATCAGCAATGTAGAAGGCTTCTCACGAAGTTGTAGTTCTTTCTTTTGAGAGAACATTACAGGCAACCTCAGATCTGTGCCTGCATTTTTACAGCCCACAACTGGGCCTAGTAGTTATAATTTTATTAACTCATTTCCCAGAAATGTTATTCCCCCTTGTCATGTTCCTTGACCAGAAACCTTTGAAAATAGCTATTAAAAGAAAGAAGAAAGAAATTGAGGTTAAACAAAGTGCAGTCAACAGACAAGCTGATGAACTTGAGATACCTTTCTTTTGTAATTTTGTTCACTTTTAAGAGGCTATCCAGAATGTTTTTCATTTAAGCATTGTCAGTCTTAAGCAGTATAGAAGACCAGCTGGTTTTGTATCTGTAAAGCAATTTGCAGCCCCCCATATAGTAAGAATTCAAGTTCTTGACATAAGGAACACTGACTTTTCTTTGATCTTTGAATAATGGAATTTTCAGAGAATTTTCTGCATAAAGTTATTGTTAGACCTCTAAGAAAACTTGCCTTGAGGCCATTTTTGGATCACGCCTGCTTCCCACTGCACTGAGCTTGACAGATCTAAGAACCTCTTGGACGTGAGTCACGTTTCGTATTTTGTAATAGAATTATTTCCTTGTATTCATGAGGCACCCTTCCTTCTCTGTCTTGATGTTTGTTGTTGATCATGCTGCCTACCACACAGATACTTTGAAATCTAGTCTTTCATTCTAAAAACAGGTTTAAACTGGGTGTATATGAAGGGAAATGCGAATAATATGAACTGGAAGTTGTGTAGCAAGCAGCAGATGCTCACACGTACTCTATGTTCCAGAGGTGGGGAAACATATAGAGCAGCTATGCTTATTACCAGCCACATGAATATGACCCTAGAAGTGAAGAGGGTGTGCTTTGAGACCCAATAAGAGCTCTGTGTGTTCAGGAGGGACAGCAAGTCCAGCACTGACTGTTGCAGGCAGCTCTTCTGAGAGCCACCAGCCTAGCGAGGGAAATGGTAGAAGGCCAGAGACTTGAAGATAATGCAACCTTGTTCATCTGCTCCTGCTGACTGCATGTCTTTGAGGTTGGCACCCTCATACATAGCCACTATTTTCCTTTAAAACTTTTTTACTCCTCTTCCATCCCTCTCGATATTCAGCAAATGAAGACCAGACCTTTTCTGTGTCTTCTGCCGATAATACAGCTGTTGTCTTTGCTAAGCCCCCTCACAAGTTTCTGCCTGCTCTGCGATCAGGTGTTGAGTCTCAACTGTTAAGGATTTAGGTGTACTAGAACAGATTCTCTCTCATGTGTATGCCAAGTCACTCAGTCATGATGTTTGTCATGAAAGACCTTGATTGCAGCTTGCTTTACTTTGATACGATAAAAACTCTTTCTCTGTCATACGTAACCGCAAAAACCCAATGTGCTACAGGGTGGCAAGCTCTTTGGAAAAGGCAAACTCAAATTTGCAGCATATGGTTTTAAGGATAGCTTGTGATGTATGCTGAAAAAAACATTAGATACATACACATCCATAAACTATATGTAGCTTAGGAAAATTAAGCCAACTATGTTATGCGTACTACAATTTTTACTGTTTGTACCTAAAACCATTTGGATGCAAAGCTCTACTACTAAGTACTCCTTTAAGGTTACAGACAGAGTAAATAGGATTGCCAGACAGTTGTGTAACACTAGGGCATTTGGGTGCAAATAGCATTGAAAATACTCAATAGGCTGCACAGATACTCAGTTTATTAGGTGTACTTCTATTCCACTAATCTTGTCACAGTACAGATTAAGCTCTTCAAATGCTTTTTCTCCTTAAATGTAAGACCTTCTTAGCTTAACTGGGATTTTAGTGTTTATTTTCCAGATTTAGTAATAAATCAAAAATTATAGACATTACAGTTCTGTGTAGAAAAAGCAGTTCTCTTCCCCACCAAAGCCATCTGCCGCTTTCCCATTAGTGGCCAAAAAAGGAATTCATCCTTTTCTGAGATTTCAGTATCTACTGTTCCGTTTCAGAGTTGTCCTCTCAAAGATAAGAGATGTTCCTCACAATCTTATTCCCTCTCCCCATCATACATCAGTATACATTCCATTGATCAAGTAATCCAGCCTGGTATAATGTCTCTTCTTCTGAAGAGATTCGTGTATTTTCTTCCCCGTCAGTGCAATAACTAGTAACAAGAATATCACCCCAAAAAGCAAAGCCGCTACAAGGCTGCTTTTTTCTCCCAGCAGAACGACACCTTTCCCTCTCAGAACACTCTCTGGCAGGTAGCTTTCTGAATCAAATGGGTCATAACCCTGAGGGTCACTTTGGGAAGCCGTGGGGGAATCACTAGTAGAGAGAGTGAAACCTGAAAAAGAGAGGAGGGTAACATGGCTGGTATTGTTGGAAGAGACAACTGTTGGCTCAGGAGGGATGGCTGGAGTTCTTAGTCCTGATGGGGCGGTAGCAGATCTGGAATTTGTGGTGACCCACTTGGTTGTTGAAGTAGAACCAGAAGTTGTGGGACTGGAAAGAGGGACATGAGTAACAGCGATGGTGGCGGCAGGGATACCAGGTTTAGCTCTGGTGTTCACAGTAGGCAGAAAGGTAGCTGTGGTGGTGGTGGTGACAGCAGTAGGTTTAGCACCACCAGTAGGCAGAGAGGTTGTACGAGATTCCAGTCTGGTGGTACTTGTAGGCAGAGGAGTAAGAGTAGTACTGCTGGGTTCAGGAACACTAGACTGTGTGGTGGGGAACAAAGCAGAGGGGTTTCCAATTCGAACAGCAGAAGACATACTTGATGGCAGGTTAATTACTTTCTGCCTTGGGATGGTGTCTAAGCTCTCAGGATGTTTTGCCCCTTGAGATTCCGGAAAAACTGTATCAAATTCACTGTTGTCTAAATGCTTGGCCACATGGTTCAGGAGTTCAGATGTCTGATGAAAGACAGACTGTTGCAAAGCAGCGGTATGATTCTGATGGCTAGTCTGACTGTGAGAAATAAAGGCTCCAGCATCTGAAGACAAAGAATACCCATTTGAAGAAAAGTCCTCACTTTTGAAAGATGTATCCTCCAGGGCATGGGTGTCTGGAAACAGAAAGGAAATACCAGTATTTAATTATTAAATCTATTTTTGACTACCATAGGCTTACTCTAACAATTTGTATTTTTTAGTAAGAGAGATATAAGGGGGCTCCAGAAAGTAATGACTAATGCAACTGAGGCATCAGGATCTTCCTTTCTTTAAAATATGGTGAGTCACTTTTAAATTCTGCATCATAAGTAAGACCTGTCAGTCTCAAGCCTGGGCACACTAGACCTTGACTGCCGCTTCTTACAGAATTCACCTGTGCAGAGTGAGCATCCCAATCTGATTGTTTTATGCTCATATTGCATGCATATAAGTGTTTTATTTAGCAGTGCAATGCAGAGTGAATAGGCCCATTGCCTTTAAGCCATTCTCAGCCCCTGTCAGTTAAGAAGTAGATATTATCAACCTCACTTTGATTTGTCAGATGTACACATTTCCACCTAGCCAAGATGATTATACAGTCCCCTCTCTTGTAATATCCAAGCACCCTGTGATTGTTTGATACAATTCAATTCACATACAAAAATTGTCTTATGATACACGGTCACAATAATATCCCCATTCTATAGACCATTTTATACTCATACTGACTTGTAGGAAAGACCTGAGCTCCTACTGCCATACTAGAAGACAGACACTGCTCCAAGAGTCTCTGAGGTATTTGCAGTGAAGGCCTCCACAAGAAGCAGACTGCACTTAATCATTCCTCTAGAAGTCGATATGTATTGCATGCAAACCAGGTGGGTGAATGTTATTTAATAGAATTTGGAAGCAGGGCAACAGCATTATGTGACGGAATTTCCATACAATGGATAACCCAAGCAGCTACCTGATTCTACACAGGTATTATAGAGAGACTTTGGGTGAGCACAAGCTCTTGGGAAGACTGGCTGTTATAGTTCAGATTTTACATACATATACATGCATGTATATATATAGAGATAGATGTTTGTTAACTGCACTGGAATAGAAATAAATAACAAAAAGTCCATGATATTTTCATTGTCACTTTTTTTCTCAAGTAGGAACTCTTATCTAGAGGGATGGATTTATTTCAATTTTATTATACATGCAAAGAAGCCTACTTGGCTGCTGTTTTAATATGTATTTCCAAGCCTTAAGACTCCACAAAAAAAAATGAAGTGCAAAAAAAAAAAAAAAACCCCACCCAACCCCAAAACAACAAACCAAAAAACTGACAATGCTTTAAACAAGAGCACAGCAAATACTTCACTTGAATCATAGACACCCATTTTTATCCTAACCTTCCAGTCAGGCACCAGCTTGTTAGCAAAGTAAGATCCTAAATAGAGATAATGGACTCCAACCACAAGGTCTGTCTTAGAGAAAAGCCATACTCTGTTTTTAGAGAGTGGCTTTAAATAACGAAATGTTCAGTTATTAGAGAATCAGATACTGTATGGTCAAAGACACCCAAACTCTCAGCTGCTTCTGCAGCTCTGGACACATTTCCACACCAGTGAGGAAATGGCCTGTCACCACCACCGAGTCAGTCCCCAGTTCACTTTTTCCCTGTTCCCTATGCACTCCCATGGATGCTCTCCCCTGCGTGTTTAAATAAACAGCAGACCTAGTAGCTACAAAGCATTTGCAATATGCTATGTCCTCTTCAGAGCACACAGCTAGAAAAGCGCGGAGCATGCACACAGTGTTCAAAAGACGGGTGGAGGGAGCACAGGGCGGCTACGTGATGAGTCCCATACAGAAGTATCACTGCTACTCTGCAGCACTTGGATTAATTAACTGCCTGCACTAACTAACTCTACTCCACATTTTCAGCATCAGACATTGATTTTATAATATCCTTTGTCTCCATTTTAGACAACAAGCTCCCAAATGCAATTGCCCAAAACTATCACAGGCGAGGTGCACGTGGGGTATGAGGATAGGTATGCTTGTCAGTAATGAAGAACGAGGGCACTACACAAGTCAACCTCTAAAAAGAGATTAAAACCCCAAAGTGGTCCTGCTGATATCTCAAATCCAATAAGCTGCATTAGAAACCAAACTTCAGGGTTGTCACTCTTGAAAACAAACTAAGCATCTCCTGAGCATACTTTGCTAGAACCCACCAGTATCTTAGTGGGGTGGAAAAGGCAAACATGGAAGTAGTACATGAAGAGCAGAAATCAGAAATGTTACTTCTTTTCAGCAATAGCTCTTTGTGACTGGGACCAGGAAACATTTTACTTCCCGAGCCATATGTTGTTTCCATTAGTTACCAAGCCACAAGAATAGTTAAAAAAAAGAAAAACAAAATCTCATTACTAACATAGTGTCAGTATTTTAAGTTGCTGTATTACCAATAGAGTATCCTTCCCCCTTTTAGTTTGGTTTTCATTGTAACCACATGCAGATTCTCATGTGAAAAAACAGAACTTGAAATGTTCGTCAGTACCAATGCTGCTCAGGTGCTACCTTTGAAAACTTATTAGGAACATAAGGTAAATAGGCTAGCATAATCTTTCCATAATTCAATGTTCACAGAACCTAAAAAATGCAAAATGAAAAATAGATGGTATATGCAATCAAGTTGTTAACCGAGCATTACACCACATGTAGTCGTGCTTGTGCTTTCCTCCTGCATTTCTTCTTTCTCTGTTTGAAAGCCCTGTATTCTTCTAAGGGAGAAAGAGATGGAGACAAGAATAGTTCTAATGATATTTTTACAGGCATGCAATTCATTTGTTGCACATTGCTTTTGCCCAATTCCTGTGTGATTGTGCTTGCACAAAAATATTTGGTAACATTATGTGAATAATCTTTCTACATATCCTGCTGTTGCTCCTTGCATAGTTCCTCTTGGAAAAGTTCTCTTTTTCAGCAAAAGTTCAGTCTGTGGAAATATGAAATTTCTGCTCTCTCAAGCAGCCACACTGAAACCACCTTGCGAACTCTTGGCAGGAGGACAATCTAATTATCAGTTTCTTATCTGAGCCCAGGTCTGGTGCAAGTCAACGTCAGTCAACACGTAAGACTTGCTTTAAAAATCCCACAGGACATGACAGATAGCGAGAAATTTCTGAGTGTGCAGCCCACATGCCATAAAGCTTTGAGCTTAGTCTGTTTGCATCTGTGCTTCAGGTTCCCTAACTGAAAGCAGAAAGTAATGATTACTATTGCCAATTACTTGGTAACATCACAGCAGTGCTCCAAGGCTTGCCCAACATTTGCTGGGTGTTCCTGCCTGTGTGTATATGGTATTCATCAGTGTAACATGGATCCTTTGAATACGTAGACGGCTACAAGGACATCGTATTTCCATTGCTTTCAGTGATAACCTTCAGCGTTATGTACAGGAAATTTTCCTTGTTGAATATATCAAGATGGAAGCAGCTTCTTTTTGTTTTGAGCAAGGCAAACTTATGAGCAGTTCTGAATCTAACATGAAGGAATTTCGTAAGGGTTGGGATGTTATTCCAGCTGGGAAGCTGGGCCCATGCAGGAGCTCACCACACACCTGCCAATCCATCCCCCACAAAGCAAAAGAGCAGCATTTTCCAATTACAGTGCTTGGCTTAGAACATTTTACTAAAAACACAACCCCCCAAAATTTTCTGGTCACTACTGAAAATTGCAGGTGCAAAGGTCATCTAGCATGGGGATAAGTGGCTTTTACTATTATTTACCTCTTGTTATCTTGTAGCTCACAAATCCTGTCGTGGGTTTCGTTGGACAAGCCTCTGTGCTAGGGCAGTAAAAAAGGTAGCAGTTTGGATTAGCGCTTGTCCTTCGAGGATCAAAAATCATCAAATTACACTTCTTGTCTCCTGCAAAACATGATATATACATATTTCAGCAATAAGAACTTTTATACCCTCTTCATAATAAGCTCTGCTCTGTTAAATTAGTTTTTCCTCGTGTGAGTAAGGGGAAAAGTACGAACATAAAACATTCCTACAGGAAAAACAACCTAGGACTGCAAAAGAATGGCCCAGGGCCAATATATGAAAGGTCACACCTTCCTCTTCCTGTACAGATGAACCTGGGGAAATAGTGAGTCTAATCCCTCATCCTCCCCTCACCCGTACCCCACTTGGCACCACTTTATATAATAATTTCTTGCTTACAAATCCTGATAAAGCTGAAAACCTCCTTGATATACTCGTGGAGATGGAAATTATTTCTATGCTTTTCCCATCACATCCCAGGAATCTCTTGGCTTATTGCTGCTTGGGGGGGAGCGGGGGTGGTGTGCTTTTACCACTGCCTTTCTACTTGCTGCTGTACCTCCTACTGTTCCAAGAGCTGGATGCAAACCCGCCGTCTCAGAGAAGGGTAAGCGCTCTCCTTTTTGGCTAAAATTAAACGTAGCGCAAAATGTCAGTTACTTTGTAGCGCATCTACTAAATATAGCTTACGCATCTTGGAGCGTGGGGGGCTGAGTTTTTAACATTTCGAATTACCACTGTTTCTTTACTGCAAATATTTTCCTGAACGCCCTGGGGTCTTGCATTAAGATCTAACATCACACTTGGCAAAACAGGACAGCAGCTGCAAGCTGTTACTAGTTGCAGCGTGAACGAAAGGATAAATTAACGTTCCCGTGCTGAATATAGAAAATACCCTCATCCCAGAGAACTTCAGAAGTCATTTCCCATGCGTTCGTAGGCAGTAACAGAGAAGACGGAAGAGGAGCCGGTTACCTGATAGCTTTTC